ACAAATGAGATCTTGAGCAACTCCATGTTGTATATGTGCTTGTTCAGGTTCAAATAACCTTCGACCTGTGTAACCCAGGTCTGGAGCCCATTGTGGCTTCCATCATATTCTCTGGGACACCCAACATTAAACTCCCTTCCTCCATTGGGTGGGTGGCAATTGTACATGTCATCAGGATTGGCTGGGGCCTTACCCTTACTGGTCCCACTATAGGGGATCTCTGGGGGAATTACCTTTCCAAAATTTCTCTGATACCATTCATGTAATGCCGAGTCCATAGGCATTCCTGTTGGAAAGGGGTCGCTACTCCTGGCATGCATTGCCTTGCAAAGCTCTTCTGCCATAGCAAGCCATTGATCTTCCAACCATTGTCTCAGCTCCTCTTCCAAGAAGGTCCTTGTAGGCATCTCAGGAGCAGACTCTCTGTGACCAATTGTCATGGACATTCCTGGTAGTTTGCAAGCTTCTTGTTCTTCTTTGAGGACTGATCTGAAAGAAGTCTCGGACTTCTGATCATCTTCTTCCAAACTAAGTGTGACTTCCGAATCCCTAAACCAGGATAGATAAGATAGGTGGGGATTTGTGGCAGTAAAGGAGGATTTTGTCCAAGCCCAAGGGGGTTAGGTCTAGGAGGAACTGGCGGTCTCGATTTCTGAGGGTTAGACACTTTAATGAGAAGTGATAATGAAGGCTGAGGGAGGATTTATTTCTTGAAAGAAACCTGTCAGTGTGGGGATGCTTGATGGTGTGCGAGTGTTTTTATGCACAGGGAAACACGAGCACTGACTCTAGGGAGGCAATCTATTAAAGCCTGGTGGCTGCCTGTAGAGCAGTGAATTTGATTAAGGGTAGAGGGATGCTTCTCAATTTTGTTAGCGACATATGGACACATTGAGAGGTGAGAATCAAAGAAGGTGAGTTAGTCTTTGCACTGAGGGAGACCAATGAGCCTTTGTAGGAGGTAAGCGTGGTTTGTTGAAGTTCAGTAACCAGGGACAAGTAGACTTTCGTGAAGAGGTCAACAAGTCCCAAAAGCTGCATTGAGTTTTTCAATTTTGTTATGCCCAAGTGCAGTGACTTCTTCAAATGGAATAGGCACGAAGCATGCGAGGGGGAGTCTATGGGCCAAACTTGTCATAACCCCTATGGCTCAGTTATCTTGAAGGTCTGACAAAGGTTCTGTCTTCTGGCGAGTCCCTAAGGTTGTTTGTGTGGAGAGAGAACAAGGATGAGCAAGAAGGAAGTTAGCTGAGTTGCAAGCTATTGAGAAACTGCAGATACAGGATGAAGTACATAGGTTTATATACCCCTAAGTACAAGTACCATACCAGTCATGACAGATGCATTGTGACACATATCTGCAGTAGTCAACAGAACAATCAGTCAAATAGATAAAAGGGGAGGAGTCATACGATGTCATATGATGGGGGTAGGCAGGCAATGAAGGCTGTACTGGCTGGCACAATCAATGCGCAGCAAGGAGCCTGACACTGGAACTATAGTACAACATGTGAGCAATATAAACGAGTCAACTGGAGCAAGAAAGAGACAAGTTGTCCATCAGCAGAACACTGGATCAACAGGCAGCCATGGTCTCGACAGGTATTGGAAATACCATGACAGTGGGAGATCTGACCAACCCCTGAAGCATCTGAACCCCTAGGATGGCAATGGTTATTAATGATGTGATGAGGCATGTGATGCATGTGACCGTAAAGAGTCAAAAAAGGAAAGACCCCTGATGGAAGCATAACAGGTACACTCACTGGCCCCATCTGTCTGTGGATGGTATGACAATGACATCTTGATTTTCACACCTGTTAACTTGTGAAGGGCTCTCCAAAAGCAAGATACAAAGAGCTTATTGCAGTCTGAAACAATCTCCAAGGGAAGACCATTCTTGCAGTACCAATGATCAAAGAAGAGGGCTGTGAACTCAGCAGCCAAGATGGAACTGTGGCAAGGGACAAGCTGCATGTCAGCCCTGAGATGGTCTGTCATTGTAACAATCATATTAAACCTGTGATCTTCTGGTAAGGGACCTATAAAGTTGATGGCTACTGAATCTCTGTGAGTGTCTGGCACTGGTAAAGGATGGAGGGGACTGGCAGGTGCTGTGGTAGGAGACTTGTTGTGCATGCAATGGGTGCAGGCAGGGATGTATGCAGCTGCAAGGTCATGATGCATGTTAGGCCAGTAAAAGGAATTCCATAGTGCCACATAGGTCTTATCAGTGCTAAAGTGGCCCAAGGTGTCATGAGTGAGATGGAAGAAGCATTCATGAAGCAAGTGTACATGCAGAACCACCAGATGGCCTGTGAGATACAGCAAGCCATCCCATTCCTGAAGACCAGGGAGCAAGTCAAGGAGAGAGAAGAGTTTTCTACAGAAAGGGTCCTCCATGTATCCTTTCAAGATCTCTACTGTCAATGACTTGTCCACCTCAACAGTCGACACTGCAGTGACTGGAGGAGCATTGTCTATGTGGTGGGACAACACATCAGCACCAACATTACATTCACCCTGGACATAATGAATAGTTAGGTCAAACTGGGACATATACTCCTGCCAGTGAGCTTGCTGTCAGGAGAGATCATGTTGTGTGGCAAAGTTCTGAAGTGTATGGTGATCTGTGTACACCAAAACTGGGGCACCGAGTAACTCAATCCACCACTTCTTCAAGGCACGGATGATGGTGAGGAGTTCTTTCTCGTGCACTGGATAGTTGAATTCAGCACTGTGCAATGGGGTGGAATCAAAGGCAACTGGCCGGGCAGACTCCCAAGTCAATCCCCAGGAGAGGATTGCCCCAGTATGGAAGTCTGACACATCACATGTAAGGAAGATGTGCTTGTCACCTGGATTATTGTGGTCAATAGTCATCAAGCAATGAGGGCTGACCACAAGGTCCTTAACAGCCTGGAAGGCCCACTGATAATCTTCAGTCCAGGCAGGAAACTTGAGCTCAGCAGCCTTTATTGTCAATGTGTTCAAGACCCAAGTGTGTTCTGCAAGGTTGGGAAGATGATCTGCAACATAATGAACCAGACCTAGGAAGGCATGCATGTCAGCAACTGATCAAGGAACCAGCCAGTCAAGAATCCTCACAATTTTGGAGGAGTCTGGCTCAATTCCTTGAGCAGATATGTGGTGACCAAGGAAGAGCACATCAGTGCAGAGCAGCTGTGTCTTTTTGAGGGAACAGAACAACTTAGCATCATGAAGGGCCTGGAGAACTGTATGAACGTTGCACTCATGTTCCTCGAGCATCTGTGACCAGATAATAATGTCATCAAGATAGACATGACAGATGTGTCTGATTAGATGGCGAAGAGCAGTGGACATATGGCATTGGTGAACAGCAGGAGCATTGCACACCCCCATAGGCATAATGGTCCACTCATACAGACCCCAAGGCATGTGTACAGCTAACCATTTGATGTCATCTGGGTGTACCTTGGTCTGGAAGAATGCATTGGTCATGTCCAGCTTAGCAAAGTACCTGCCTTTGTCACAATCATGAAGAATCTCATCAATGCGAGGCAATGGGTGATTATTGGGGACAGTGTTCAGATTGAGTTGCTGAAAATCATTCACCCAGTATGGTAAGGCTGTAGCGTCTGCCTTTGGAATGATGAATGTGGGTGAGGAGTGTGTGCTATTGGAAGGTCACAAATGCCCTGCATTGAGGTGCTGTTGCAGTAAGGTCTTCCAAGCCTCATGGTACTTTTTTGGACAGTCATATGACTGAAGCTGAATCACCTTGTTAGCATCCTTGGGTTGTATGCAGAAGAGGACATCATCAGGCAGTGCATCGATGGGCAGGATGTCCACAGGGAAGTGATCAGTGAACTTGACCTTGAGCTGTGCATCATGCTTTGTCAGCTCTTCAGCTGCAGTGAGGACCTCAATGCAGTGTTGCACCATGCCAATTACATCCACCCCACAAACTGGGGTAGATGCTACCTCCACAATTTCACGATACCTTGGTAAGATGCCTCGTAACTCTGTAAGAACATCACCCTTGATCTTCTTAACAGTCTGAACTAAAGGAGTCACTGGTGGGAGGTGAACACACAGAATCTGGGGGGTTCATTAAGTCGTAGCCAGTATCCTTACTAATACAAGTATGGAGAGTGTGATCAATAATGAAGTTATTATGAGAGAGAAATGGAAGACCCAACAAGAGCAGGGTACACAGCCTGGGTGCAATAATGGCGTGAACAGAGCATGAGTGAAAATGCGAATCAGGAGAGAGGCAGGACAGAGTAACATAATTTCCCAATGACATGACCTCCCTGTTGCCAGAAGAGAGGGCAACTGAGACATTAAGGGACTTATGCAACTGGCAACATCGTAGACCAAGTCTCACAATGAGAGACTCATCAATCAGTACTAGATGAGAGCCGCTGTCAATAAGCACTTTTACAGGGAGGGGGAAGGTTAAATTGGGTCCTTCAAGAAGACAGGACCAGCGAAGGTGGGGAACAGAGAGGGGGGCGACATACTCTTCACCTGAGTCTGTTCTGTCCCCAAGGGTGGCAGAGGGCATAACGACAGTGATGGTTTCTGTATCATCCTCCTCTGTGATATGGGAATGCTTCAAGGCTGGCTTATCTTCAATGACTGCCATGACAGGCTTTGCATGCTTCCTGCAAGCAGCTTTGACATCGGCAGCCATCAACACCTTATAGTCATCAGTAAATCACTTTGAGCTGTGGAGCTCTCCACAGTGCTCCATAATACACAGAGTCCCCTAGCTAGGTCCAGGCTGGACAGATGCACCCAACAACACTTTTTGCTATGGCTAGTTGCCTGTTACTATGGAATGGTCACATTGTCATGGAACTTTGTCCAGTATCTTACTTACTATGGATTGCTATGGAACTTTCATGCTTAGATATCACTGTACAAAACTGGCCAGACTGTATTCTCCTTGGGGTGTTGTCCAGTACTCCCCATCTCAATGTTTACTTTGCAAACATGTGATCACTCCACAACTAGGAACAGTTCACAGCAGGTATGACAGGAACAGGAGCATTGGCATCAATTGCATACTATGTGTAATGACAGGTATGACAGGACTAGGTATTATGAAATCAATCAAGGACTACCTGAATGTGCTGGTACCTCTCTACACTCAAATCAACCTCTTGCAGTGCAGCCCTGATATGAGGAGTCAGCGTGAGCATGTTGGCCACCCCAGTACTTACCATCCTTCCTTCACCCACTGAGAAAGCTGATCACACAAACCTTGTGCTGTGATAGGGATTATGAAGGATGTTGTTCAGCACCTTCATCATGCCATGGAAAATGGAATTGTAAGCCTTGCTGGAGAATTGAGGCATCATCTTTCCTGTGCCATTCTTTGCAAATCTGTCCAACACACAATGATACTGCAAGAAAAGTTTGAGTTGCAGCAACTTGGGGTGTAAAATAACTCACTGTGGCTGTGACAAGAGCCAGACAGGAAAGGGGAACTGAATTGTTGAGGGACTCAGGATGCTTATCCATGATTCAATAGGTCCTGGTATAGTAGAATTGTATGACAGCTTCCTTGAGGGTGGGGTGAGCAAAATTCCTGGTTTTTCCCTGATAAACCAATCCATTAGTAGTGCAGACAATGAACTGTGTGAACATACATTCTCGTCGAAACTGTCTTGCAGGAAAAGTGAGTTGTCAAGGAGCTTTGCAGCAGCAGTCTCGATCCATTGCACATGAACCCATGGTGCAACATCAGAAGGAGGGATAAGGTTGAACACGGTGTGAGTCAAAGTGAGGTTCAGTGGTGAAAACCAACCAAAACCAACACAAAAGACAATGAAAGCAAGTGGTGGTGTGCCTATGCAGTACCTAGATGGTAGAACCTGTTCTTTGGGAGGGTTTTTGCGAGCTACAACACTCAAAGATGAGTGCTGAGGGTTGGGGGTGCTCCTGACGAAGAGGGAGCAAGAATGTGATAGAAAGCGATAGGGTAGACTGCTGTCAGCCTACAGAAGGATGGATGGTGACTTAATTCGATGTCCTAAGCTGTACTGAGCTCAGGGAGGGCTTGGAGTGAAGTATATGGATGATAGATGATGATAAGCGAAGTAGATGATAGCTAGACCCTTAATAAAGTCTCAACTATCGAAGCTGATGAATGATTTACTGAGAGATGATAAATTGCAAGCAAGAGGGGCTCTCTGATGTCTTCTTCTTTTGCTACCTAAGTACAGTGACTTATATACAGTACAGGGGTGTTGCCTATGGAAAACAAGGTGCAAACACTTGGTAAGTGATTGGTAACTGATGAGTAAGGAATGTAAGCAATAGGTAATCGTCTTGGAAAGCATTGGTAAGCATTGGTAAGGATAAGTAAGCCAAAAAGCGAAGAATCAGTAAGCAAAGTCAAAAGATTGGTAAATATTGGCAATAGGTGAGTCAAAGACAGTCAGAATGTCACAGTATGAGTCAAGCAATGTCAGGAACTGGGAAAGTGCACTGGAATCACATTAGGGGGAGGCCGTGCATGTCACATCTCGAAGAGATCACTTCTAGGCCAAAGTGGGATGACAGAGAGGCAGCACTGATCTGATGCCAATATAGTACATCCAAAAGTGGACAGGGTGAGTCAGATGTCAACAGGGGTCAAGCTTTGGGGGTCTGTGGGGTGACAGGAGCATAGGGGATCGCAACTTTCCCCCCCAAACCATCCTCTCAGTGAAGCAAATAAAAACTTCATGAATGAGGCTCTGTTGGAAGAGAGGATGAAGGGGGAGCATCTTCTGCTGTATCTTGCAACAAGGAGGCAAGATGTGCATCATACTCATCATGGATGCAATCAGGGAGAGTGGAGAACAGTAGATTATACTGTAGCTGTCACAATTTTGGAAGAATGACGGATGAGACTGGTATGAAGATGTTGCAGGGGGCAGGGAGGAAGGATCCATATGCTTCTTGGACTGGAGAGACTGAAACGACCACATAAGACCTTTCCAACCAAATGACAGACCTGAGGTGACCAAAGAATGTCCTCCTGGAGGTCATACTGACAAAAAGAACATGCTGTCCAAGCTGGATGGGCTGAAAGGGGGCAGATGAGGGTGGGATGTACCAGGACGCTTCAGGACGGAAGCTGGTAGGAACTCCTGGTAGATATATGTAGCCATGGTCCCTAGCAAAGGGGACAAGCGAAATGACTGATGTGGAGGCAGCCATATCAGAAGAATTAGCGAAATGAGTGTCTTTTGGAGGGAGTGCTGTAGAAACGTGTGGAGTGTGCAAATCCTTTCCAATCCTGGAAGGCAGGATCGCGTGGCTGAGCACTACAAGCGAATGTGGGAATGGTTTTGGTGTCTGCAGAATTGGTGGAGATACATCAAAAACCAGAATGCCGTACATGGGCACTTAAGAATTTTATTGGTGCTTAACCTGCCTCCTCCTTTTTCTTTGGCATTGACAACTTGTTCTTGTGTGAGGGATGACTGCCAACATTGCTGGCTGTCCTTCTTCACATGAGGGCTATGGTCTTCACCTCCATTCATCAGCTACATCCATGTCCACCTCACCAAACACCTTTGGTGTGTGACAACGGATGGCATGGTTGCCAGCATAACTGACTTCAATTCCAAACACCAGGTAGATATATCACCAAGGAGCTACTGTGGTATGTCAGTAGCTGTAACTGAAAGGTGTGACTACTTACGAGGCACACCATATCTTGCTTGTGGTCAGGCCAGTAACCTATAAAGTTAGGATAACAAGACATGTATAAGGCAAAAATATTGTTACTCACCATCTTCAAATTGCACACTGCATTGATTCCACTCAACAATGACAGTGACAAGCACCTCTGTTATGGAGAGGTTGAGGTTGTGAGATTTTGATGGGAATGGGTTAGAAAGTGCATGTGCAGCCCTACATTCTTGCTTAGCATCTTTGAGACAGTCCTTCCATACTGCCTTGTAAAATCTCAGTTGTGAAGGCAATGGGCCCTCATCCTTAGCTTTCTTGGAGTTATGAGGGGCTCTGGCATGCTGAGATACTTTGTTGACTGAGTCATGTGCAAGGGTCAGAAGATCACGATCAGGAACAGGACAGCTGTTAGTGCAATGGTGGCATTCAAGAACATTGACAACAGTGCCACATTGGGAACCCTAAAATAACAATCTGAATAAATAAAGCTAGCAGGAATGGCAATTTTGTACCTCTGGCTGAGCCTTGTCCTTGGATTGTAAGCTTTGCAGAGCCACATTGTCATCCTCATCATGTGAGTACTGAAACTCATGGTCAGGGGGTAAGGAATTGTGGCAAATAGGATTGCTTGTTGTCATTTCTTGGGAGAAGCCTAACAAAGAACATTGAGCCAATACCATAATAACCTCTGACATGTACCAGGAGGAGTTGATTGCCTAAGATTCATTGCACCCCATCCAAATGCATTGTCCTCATCTTTGTCAAACTCATCGCTGGAGACCTCACCAGCCTCTGCATCCAATGGGTTATTACTTGAGGACTCCGACTCCTCTTCTGAGGAGCCCTCTGATGACAGCTTCTCTGAACTCTTGTGGCAAACGTCAGCAGTTGCCAAAGTTTGTCTTGATGAGAGCGAGCTATCAAGGGAGGGGTCAATACAAGAGTTGGGGATGGTAGCAGGTGGCTGGTGGGGGATAAACTGAGACTGGTAGTTGGGCTGGGGTGTTGGTGGATGAGATGTATTACTGGGAACTTGGTCTCCCTGAATCACAGCGATATAAGGATTATTGAGCACTTGAAGGTCAGGTTCCATCCCAGGAGGCGCAATATGACCTGGCTGTTGAGCCAGAACACTGAAACCAAAGTGATGGGAGTCTGTGGGGCACTGATGGAAGACAGGTGTTGCTACTGCTGTTGAAGACTGAGGGATGGGATTCTGAAATGAACATTGTATATCAGTATAAAAAGACACTCACTGGAGGCATATCAGCTGGGCTAGGACCATTCACAATGGGAGGCACATAGGGTGGTGGGGTGACATTGGACTTTGCAAGCAGTTAGCTTGATATTTGCAAATAACTAGAACTGACCTTCAGTTTTGCATTCTGGCCAGCACTGCAGCCCCCACCCTTTTTCTGCTGAGTGGGTGGAGGTGCAAGAGAATTTACAATGGAATTGTTGGGGAGATCTGTTGACTTTTGTGGCTGTGTAGCTTGGCCTTCAAGGGCAGTACCAATCTGCTCCAATTGCTCAGCCCTTCCACCTGAACCTGCCCCTGCCCTTCTGCTACAATGGAGTCCCACTGTGGCAATAGACTGAGAGTCTTTGAGATCAATGGGTGGGCTTCCTAGACACTTGTTTTTTGCAGGTCAAGTGTTTCCATTGGCCTCTGGTCGTTGTTTGGCTTTTTTGTTATCCTTCTTTTTCAGCAGGATTGTTCCAGATTGGGTGGACATCTGAAGGTACAAGCAGTTAAACAGAGAACAGTATAAAATGGAAGCCTGGGGACCATGATGAAATGACATCTTGTGAATCCATATAAACATTGACAGGTTCATTGCGAGACATAAAACAAAATGATGTGTGGAGATGGTTACCTGCTGCAAATGAATTGAAACACTTTACACATAACGTACAGAATGTGAACTAAACATAAAATTCATGCTAAGACTACACACCTTTGAAGCGTCTATTGGGTATAGGAGGGTTATCCATGCTCCTTACCTCTTCACAAAGGCATTTAGAAGACATAATTGCTGAAGACATAACATCCATATCATTCTCCTGACTTGGATGCATGCTTGAATTAAGTGCTTTGTGCTGGGTGATGATCTGCTGGAATGCATTTGTCATCTCCAGTGGTTTCTCATATGGCATGCTGGCCAAGAAACGATCAAAAAGGGAGATAATGTCAGAGAACTGCACTGCAGTTCTGCTCAGCAGGGACTGCCCAAGCAATATGCACCACTCATTAGCCAGAGGGATTAGATCTTGAAAATATTGCAAGACCTCAGAATCCAGCCTCGATTCAGATGGGTCATTAAGGAATGTGAACTTGGTGCATCTGGCAATTTCAAGATCTTTGGCCACCTTTTCACTCTACAAGCCAAGAAGTGTCTTTTCATGGCTGACATCTTGATGTTTGTGGCCAAGTGGCCCATCATAAAGGATGAGGATCCAGATGAAAACATAGAACAGGGATTCAATATCATCTGCAAATGTATGGTGTATAGTAGTAGGGTGATTGATGAATATGTGGGTGAGAGAGGTGCTTTTCTGGATCAATGGGACATTAGTCTTTCCACTTTTAGTGATGGCTTTCTTGAGTTGGCAAAGGATATTCACTGAAAGGAAGGGGACTGTCCCCTTTGCATACTATCAGCTTTGAGTTCCAAAATGTTTTGCATAGTACTTACTGTGCCACCCAAGTCATATTCCCCCTGTAATGTGATCTGTACAGCAAATTCCCAGTTGAGGAGAAAGCTGTGCAACCCATTTGCAAAGTCCTCGATCATCATATTGTTGATGCTACAATCTTGATGGAGGATACCCCTCTTGAGAGCCTGCTGTTGGACTGTTAAAGCAATTAGTATTGATTTTACAAGTGGAAGAGGATACGTACTTCGTAAAATATCTCAGATGCATGAAACAAGTTCCTTTTTTGTCTTGAACATTACCATTGGCCTTGCACATGGCTTCATAGCCAATTGCACATGAGTTCTCTGAGACTTCATGCACAATCACCACTTCTCATCATGATATCGTTCAGTTTTATTGACAATGCCCAGCTCAACCTCGATGACCCAGTAGTGTTGCAACTTGGGAACTCCATCGATGTCCTGGACCAGCTTCATCATGCTGACTTCATGCAGGGCTGTCCTCTGCTCCGACTCCTCCACCCAATAATCCTTGATGACATAGTATTCCCCATTGTAGCATGCAAGGTAACAAACAGTACCCCTTCCTAGAAAGCCTGTGCTCAAGAATAATACATTGAGCACCTTGTAGAAGGTCTTGTTTACTTGGATCCTCCCAATTGCTGGGATGTGTTTGGGTGATGCAGGAGTTGGGAGTGAGTTTGCACTGGGGAGGATGCCTGACTCCAAGTGAGGAGAAGGCATTGCAGGAGAGGGGAAAGGGGAGAGAGGTATTGCAAGTGCTGTGCATTTGTGGCTGTGTGCAGGATGGGGGGATATCTCTATGGTTGAATCAAAGCCAAGGGTTGAGCAGGAGCTGAATGCAATGGCACATACAATGTATATGAAGACTTCTGCATCAGTGTGGATATTGATAGAGGGTGAGATTGCACCACCAGAGTGGTCGTAAAAGTGAAGTCGAAGAAGTTTGCTATCAGTAATTGATAATCCAAGGACATAGCACCTCCAGGGCTGGTTGACAAGGGTTAGATATGCCTTAGTGTCCATCATCTTCCCAAGGCAGGATGCTGGCTTGAAAGACTCCTTTGAGTACTCAGTGATGACTTTGGGACTTGACCACATAATCTCGTTGAGGGATACTGGGGTGTTATTGACAAGGATGAGGTTGGGCTTTCAGGAATAACCTGTAGAACCTCGTGAGCTGGTTCTGCTCCAGTCCGCCATCCATTGACACTGGGGTTTGCTGGATAGACTGGGCATCGTGGATTTGGCAGTGGTTCCGATAGCATTGAGAAACAGAGCAACTTGCTTTTCAAAGCAGAGCTTTTCTGATTCTACCAGCAGCTCTGAGGCAAGTGGCCTGGGTTGCTCGGGAGGTGAATCAGAGCCTGGGGGTGGATGAAGCTCCCAGTTCCAGCACTTTCTATCATCATCATATAGGCTGACCAGGCTGTCCTCTGACAAGCTACCCTGGTTGAAGGAGGCAGAATAGCTATGGACACATGCGGGAATCACTTTCAGAGGGACAATCAGGGACCTGGGAGCTATGGAGGTAAATGTATCTCTGAAGGACTCGAAGATAATATTTGTAACATAACCAAGGCTCTGAGGAGAGCTAACTTGTATCCATGGTTCATGGATGATGTGCACAGGGTGTTTGGTTGGCTGTGAAGGAGTAATCTCCATTGAGTGCCAGCATGGCCCACCAGGGAGTAGCTCAGCCAGCCCACGAAGTGCTCTGGCTGTATGAAAGGAAATATTTTGTAGCTGTATCTGGTGCATGTCAATAATGATCTTCAGAGAGAACAGGGACAGGCTTATGATTGACAATGACAAGACAGAGTCTATAGCTCTCATGCTCAGGCCTGAATGAAGTAACCATGATGCCAGCTCCCATTCATTGTGGGAGTTGAAGGGGTAGTATAGATTTGATGCCTGTAGGTTGCTGAACTGGTCACCATTAAATTTGTCCATAAACATTGGGCCAAGTCCAAATGTTTTAGGTGCACCCTTGAAGTCATCTGTGGTTGGCCCCCACATGTCAAATGCCATATGAACAAAATCCAGGTAATCATGAGTTGCATAGTCATTGGGGTTGGTGCTCATCAGGACATCTTCTAAGTGTGTTGGGTGTTGAGAGTTATGAATGTTCAAGCTCGAAGGTTGGAGAGACTTGTGAAGGCAGACTAAGTCATTGACCCAGGTATTGCACCCAGAGGATGGCTGGCTCATGTGCATTGCGACAGCACTGTGACTCTGGAAGCCACCTTTACCACAACTTGGACAGCAGGACATACTCTAGATGGTCAGGCAGGCCAATTCCGTGTTATGTGATTATCACTTCAGTGCAAATCAGGACATTGTTCAGATTGCTATGGAGTGTATTTCTCATATACTACCCAATCACATCCCATTCACAAACATAGTCACTCATGTCTGTTTATAACCTCAATCACACACACCTTCATGCTGGATCAACCATGCCCATGGTTGAGGGTCACCTGGGCAGCAAAGGACTGCCCCATAAGCCTTGTGATGGCAGGTTCTCTTCCTGCAACAGTCCCTCTAGCAGTGCCAAGGTCAAAGTGGAGACAACTGGTGTCTTAGCTGAGATGTATGGAATATTGGAGTTGTCCACTCACACAGTAAGTTCTTTTTTTCCTTCCTAATAACTGCTCATTGATAGGTTTTCAATCTGCAGCATGAATCAAAGAGTCAGCTGAATCATGAGGCACTTCTCCTTCTCGATGTAGCGTGTGCACAATGCAAAGTCTTTCATGCAGAACAAGCTCTGGCTGCATGCATCACCCACAAATACAAATCAATGGCCAAGTTGTACAAGTACAAGGCAGGCAGTGGTGAGGCAAGAGTCCACAGAAAAGATATGGAGGTCAGCTCATTACATGTAGCAATGAAAAAACATGGACTGGGGGAGCCTATTTTCAATGTTAGTGTTCTGGCTGGTGAGCTGCAGCCATCTCTCGAGTCCAATGGTATGCTATGCTCACTCTTTTCTTTTGGGCCACTATTTTACTTATGCTGGATCTTGATAGGCACAGTTATTGAGCATGCTGGTAGTCAAATACTTGCCATTCATCTAGACTAGTACTATCCATTACTTTCCTGTACTTATCAAAAAAATGCTGTATGTTATGTCTGTGTGTTGTTGCCTTCATGCATAGGAACAAAGTTAGATCTACCAAGTTCTCTACTACAGTGGGAATCTAGGTTGCTGTATTAGCTAGGTGTGTCTGTTCCCTTGTATGCTAGGTAGCTATTGGTCTTTGAATTGCTGGTATCACTGGTGTGGCTTACTCAGGTGCTATGAGTTGCTTGGATGCTGGCCACTACTTTGGGCAAGTCTGGTGTAGTCTACTCTGGCACTATGAGTTGCTAGGATGCTTGACATTGCTTTGGACTAATATGGAATTGTGCAAATACTATGGGCAGCTATGAGTTACTAACACATTTTTGTGTTTTGCTGATGGTTCTTTGCATCTGGGAAATCATTTGGACAGTCTCACATGATATGGTTCTGAAAGGGGCAACAACACTTGAAACAGCCTGAATTGTTGCGAAGCAGCTGACATTCTTTGATGGTAAGGGCAGGTGGACATGTATGAGTACAACCATTGGGTGCCTTCAAGCTCGATGCCATAGTATTAGCTGAGCAGCTTGACTGGAATGGTTTCTTTCAGAGGGCAGCATCAAGTTTTGCTGCATCATGAACACACTTCTCATTGTTATGCTTCTGTCAGGGGTCCTTCCTTTTTTGACTTCTTGTGGTCACGTGTGTCACATGCCTTGTCATGTCCCTAATAGTCATCGCCATCCTAGGGGCTTGAATGCTCCAGGGAACATTTGGATCTCCCATCAACAGGGTATTTCCAATACCTGTTGAGACCGTGTTGCCACTGTGATCTGGTATTCCACTGCCCTCTCTGATGGATGATTTGTTTACTTCTTGCTTTTGTGACTCGCCTCTGACTCGTTTTTATTGTCCTCTTGCTGTACTATAGCTCCGGTGTCAGGCTCCTCGCTGCACATTGATTGCACCAGCCAGTATAGCCTTTTGTTGCCTCCCTATCCTCATCATTGACACCATATGACTCCTATTTATTGGTTGATAGTTCTGTTGACTACTGCGGATACACATCATGACGCATCAGTCATGACTGGAAGGGTACTCGTACTTAGGGGTATATAATCCTATGTACTTTGTCCTGTATCTGCAGTTTTTCAATAGCTTGCAACTGAGCTTCATCCCTTTGCTCTATCCTTGTTCTCTCTCTGCATGAACAACCTCAGGGACTCGCCAGTAGACAGAACCTCTGTTGGATCATTGCGATAACTCAGCCATAGGGGTTATGACAAGTTTGGCCTGTAGACTCCCACCTCGCACACTTCATGCCTATTCCATTTGAAGAAGTCACTGCACTCGGGCATAACAAAATCGAAAAACTCTGCACAGCTTTGGGGACTTGTCAACCTCTTTGCAAAAGTCTACTTGTCCCTGGTTACTGAACTTCAACAAACCAACAACCATTATTCCTCAGAAGGCTTGTCAGTCTCCCTCAGAGTAAAGACTAACTCGCCTTCACCCGTGCTCCTCAACTGCTCCTAAACAAGCATAACAAAATTGAGAAGCACCCTTCTACCCTCAATCAAGTCCACTGCTCTACAGGCAGCCATCAGGCTTTAATAGATCGCCTCCCTGGAGTCAATGCTTGTATCTCCCTACATGTAAAGTTACTTGTGCACAACCCTCTTACACTGACAGGTTTCTCTCAAGAAATAAATCCTCCCTCAGCCTTCATTATCACTTCTCGTTAAAGTGTCTAACTCACAAAGATCAAAACCGCCAATCCCTCCTCATCCAAACCCTCTTGGGCTTGGCAGGAATCCCCCACTACTGCCCATCCCTTTAGGAAGATTAGGCCCTTCAGTCACCGCCACTAACCCCTGCTTATCTTATCTATCCTGGTTTAGGGATTCAGAAGTTGTGCTTAGTTCAGAAGAAGAAGACGATTGGAAGTCTGATACTTCGCTTGGATCAGTCCTTGGAGAAGAACCAGAAGCATGCAAGTCACCCAATATGTCTATGACGATCAGTCATGGAGAATCAGCTCCTGAAATGCCTACAAGGACCATTTCTGAAGAGGAGCTGAGGCAGAGGTTGGAAGAACAAAGGCTTGCTATGGCAGAAGAACTTCACAAAGCAATGCATGGACACAGTAGTGATCTGTTTCCAACAGGAACTCTGACAGATTCAGCATTACGTGAGTGGTATGCCAGGAACTTTGGAAAGGTAATTCCCCCAGAGGTCCCTGCTGGTGGGTCCAGTAAGGGTAAGGCCCCAGCTGATCCTGATGATCACTACGAGTATCGCCCGCCTAACAGAGGTCAGGAATTTAATGTCAGACATCCTGGAGAATATGATGGAAGCCACAATGGGCTTCAGACCTGGGTTACACAGGTCGAAGGTTGCCTGAACCTGAACAAGCATGTGTACAACACAGAATCCCTCAAGATCTCGTTTGCGCTTACATACATGACAAAAGGCACAGTGGTGTCGTTTGCTGAGAACTACCAAAATGAAAATAAGCTTCTTGATGGAACCATCTACTACATGGATACTTTCCAAAGGTTCATGGAGCATCTTAAAGCTACCTTCGAGTCTGGCAATCAAACTGCACTCGCAATACTCCACCTTTCCGAGATCACTCAAGGAAAACGAGAACTTGAGGCGTACATAGCCAAGTTTACTGGGCTTGTCAACAAGGCTCAACTCAAAGAAGAATCATGTGAAGCAGGGATCTTCTTTGGGAAAGGATTAAACAAGGAATATCGTGACTGGGTTCTCAATTCTGGACGTGCCCCTTCCACAGTTATTGAGTGGATACAATGCATGGGAGAAGCTCAAACCATGATCGTGACAAAGCATATCCTAGAAGGAAAGGAATCTTGGTATGAAAGAAAGTTCATTCATTACCATGGAGGTTCCCAAGATCCTGATGTGATGGATGTCAACAAATGTAAATGGAATGTTAGATGTTCTGGCTCAGATATTAAGTGCTTCAACTGTGGAGCTGAAGGTCACATCAAACGTGACTGCAAAGTCAAGGTGAAAACCCAGCTTTCCAATGTTTGCATAGTCATCTCGGAAGACAGAATGAAGACCGCATACATCAGAGATCATTTAGCAAATGAAGAGGAAAAGAAGCTGTTGGGTTTTTAAAGGGGACTGATGATTGTCCTGCATCAGTCAGTCCTGTTGCTATTTTGTCTGCTAAATGTACTTCTATAGATGACAAATCAAATATGCGAATTCAGTCACCTCTTGGAATGGTCATCCTATCAGACTACAATGCAGGAGTATGGGCCTGTATCAACTTGGGCACAGAAGTTTCCCTCATCTCGGAACGAATGGTTCAAAAGCTCCGGATACCAACATACCTGGTGAAAAGCAAGTTCAAAACCACCTCATTCACAGGAAAAGATGTCGAATGGGTAACCTGCAAGGTAACCCTGAAGATGGAAATCAAGGAGTGTGTCATACAAGTCAAGTGTTACATTGGGCCTTTGGTTGGAAAGGAGCATATCCTTCTTGGAATGCCCTTCCTTAAGGAATTCAAGCCTCAGATGAATTGGGAGACAGGAAAAATCACCTGTTGGGATGATGGGTATGTACCCAAAGCAGGAAGCTTACCCACAATAGGACAACTGTCTCTGGACCCATCAGACTTGGATGGCAAAAGAAGGATTTCCAAGCCAATCACGGAAAAGGTAAAACCGGAGATGGGTGCAAACCCCATCATGGTCTACAAGACCACTCTTTCTACAGAACTCGAAGCTGCCCTGGCCATGAACAAAGAGGAGGTTAGGCTCCCAGAAGATTACAAGGAGTTCACAAAAGTGTTCTCAGAAGAGGATATCCTGCTTCCAGTACATCAACCTGGATTAGACCATGAAATCTGACTTCATGAGGATTTCAAGCCAAAGAAAGCAACAGTATATCCCATGTCCCCCGATGAGCTAAAGGTGTTAGATGAGTTCCTAGAAGAAAATTTAAAATGCAAGAAGATTCAACCGTCAACCTCACTGCAAGTGGCACCGGTGTTTTTCGTAGCAAAGAAGGATGGGAAGAAACGGCTTATCCAAGATTATCGCTATCTCAATTTGTTTACCATCCTGGATGCACACCTGCTGCCAAATGCCCAGGCCTTGTTCGACAAATT